CTTTTTAGTCCTTCTATTTTCCTGTCTTTTTTTGCCTTTTATTTCTCTATTAAATACTACAGGGTTTTCTTTTTGCTCTTTGCTTCCAACCCAGGACTCTTCAGACACTAGAGGGTGATCTTGCTTTCACTGTGCTTTTTCATCCCCTGAATGTAATTAACAGCTGCATTTATGCCAGGAAAGCCTAGTGTGAGGGAAGATGAAGCCACACCCAGCAGGCCATAAAAACCACCTTTTGAGGAGTCTGAAACTCCCTTAGACTTTTTACTCAGTGTCATGTAGATTTAAACCTCCTTTAGGATTTCAGAAATATTTTCCTACTGGTCTGGGTTTTTACAGCTAAATTTGTGGTACCACAGCAACATCTCAAGACTGGGATGTGAAAAGGCTTGTACTGAGCTACTCAGAGATGGTGTGGACTACACAAGACATACTCCCCTCCTTTTCTTGCCCTGGCAGTTAGCACAGCGCTCTAGTAGAGACAACCCCCAGAGCAGCTCCTCTGAGCAACCCAAACACAGTGATGAGCCACCAATTCCCATTGACAAGGCTGTGAAATTATTGGAGGGGTTGGGAGTCTGTGTTGCACCAGGACAGCTCCTGCTTTTGGGCAGCAGCAGTGGCTGCAAACTGATGCTGTTACTACTCTGCAACAGGGAGCATGGGTCAGTCTTCTTTTCTGCAGAACCTGGCATCTCAGGGCTTCCAGATTTGGGCATCTGATCTATGAAATCTCCTGGGAAGAGCTCAGCTGTGACACGCATTTTTGCACAAGCAACAGTGAAATTTGCACTGGTATATTAGTGCTTCCTACTCTTTTTGGCCAATGGCTCTTACTGTTTGTTATGTCCTCAAAATTAAATTTTTGGTTACTTAAGGTCTTGCTAAAATCTCCTTCTGAGTTCTCAGATAGTATCTTTAATTATCTAATTATCTAATAAAGGCTATGATCACTGCCAGAAATACCTTGACTGTCAAAAGGCCTGGGGTGCTGATGGTGGGTGCCAGCATGCTGCAGGGGACAGGGAGCAGCCATGAGCGATGACAGCCTCTCCACTCAAAGGGAAAATGTGCTTGGACACCTTTCCTCTGCTACTGAATCAAAGGGTTTAAAGAAGCCCTTACAATGACTCACTGCTTGCTGGAGGAACCCAGCTGAGTCTCTCTGGGAGCAGAATTCATGTGTCTGTAAAGACTGGAGGTGATTGCTTGCTGTTTATGGCAGGTCCTAAGCAGGGTCTCAGTAATACCACTCAAACACTTCAAGAAGCTACAAGTGAAAATTGATCCTGTGGATGCTTGGCAGTGGTAGAGAAACAGAAAATATTTTTGTCATGAGGGACCACATTGTACACATTGCCTCCTCAAGGAGTACAGCACCAGTTGGTGCTCAGCACACTTGTCGCCAGTGTGCAGCTTTGCCACTATTTCCAGCATGATCTTCAGCAAATTAATCACTCCCATGTATAACTTCTCCATCTGTACATGAGCATGATATGACCCTGCATCTTTGCATTTGATACTCAACTCTAGTTTAGGGATGGGACAGGGAAGGTCCCTTCCCTAACTGGTTTTGCACTAGCACCTTGCATTTTGGGACCTGGATTTGTTTAGACTTCTAGGTGTTAGCTTGAAGCTACTTGTTTTGCAAGAATGAAGTGGGGACTGTTATCTCCTGTCCATCCCCAGCTCCTATCCTGCACAGGATCCCTCACCTGGAGGGGTTTGGGCAGGGTTTTTTTGGGTGGACTTTGCCTCGTGGGCCTGGCTCACAGCTGGCTGCAAACACTGAGCACTGATACCTTACAGATGTCTGTGGGCAGCTACTCCTTTGGTCACAGTCAGCTTTGATTTCAGCAACAAGAATCTCGTGCTGAAACTTCCTCAGCATTTAGACTACCCATGTATATAGGGGTAAAACATATGTTGAAGTATTTTATTTAGATATTATATTTAAGCTGTGTGTATTAAATAAATTTTATATGTTTATTTATTTTATATAAAATAGAAAGATGTAAATATTTATTTATAATATTTTAATAATTTTATATATTTTAATACCTTAAAATTAATTTATTAATATCTCTAATCTTTTGCTTCCTTACAGTGGACTGAGCAGAGGAAAGGAGCTCTTACGGGGGCCCTTTCATGTATGTTTATTCCAATCTTTTTTTCTTTAATTCTTTCACCCTGAAACAAGGGGCTGACTGCTTTTTATTCCTTCCTCTGACTATCCAGTCCAAAAAGGCTCTGTCCAGGGCTCATTCCCTGGCAGGCAGGATGCAAGATGCTGCCATCTTAATAAAATCTGCAAGCAGTTCAGGACACAGACTTCATTTCTGGGCTGTGAACCACACCTCCAGCTTGGGCAGATGCCTGTGATCCCGAAGGTGCTGCCAGCAGCTCCAGCCACAAGCACGGTTTCACCCCACAGAGACGTGAGGTTTTATTGGTACCGAGGGGTGTCACAGCAGAGGATAAAGGGCATTTGCACAAGGTACCACAGAACCAGGTAAGCAGGGACCAGGAGGAGCTTTGAGGGGTCTCCTGGTCTCGCTGTGCCACCCCAAAGTGAAGCCAGCAGCTGCAGCTCACGCTGCCGCAGAGATGTTTGCCTGACCTTTCCCGGGAGATCGCTGCTGCCTGCCCAGACTATCCAGCCTTCAGCACCACTGCTTTGATTTGCCACATCAGTATTTCATTCAAATCTCTCTTACAGCAGCTTAAGCCCACTGTGTTTCTGGGGAGTTGTGAGTTTATAATAAATTAGTCTCAGCTAGTGGTAGAATGGACACCCCAGGCAGGAACATAAAACATATTCCCCCGGCTTCATACACAGCATTTCTGCTTAGGCACCACAGAAAGGAAATAAAAGATCTTGTTGATGAAGACATTCATGCTTTCATCTCCCTGGAAAAGCAAAAAATATACAAAGCCCAGAGTACATCTGCCCCAGCTACAGTGGCATACAGGCTCTACTGATACCGTGGTTTACTCAAAAATGTTCTGTTTCATCACGGTTTTAAAAGTGCACGTAACAGTGAGTCAAGGCTATTTTCATAGGATTAATATACAACATTAGCTAAGGCTAGTATTAAGAGATACCTATTATATTTTATTTCTCACCATTTCCCTGAGATTTCTTTCTAGACAGCTCAAGAATTAATTTAGGTAATGGTGCACCTATTTTGAAGGGCTTGCTTATTTGCTGATCAGCATTACTGATACTCACTTTTAATATTTATTAAAAATTTGGCAGCAGGACAAGAAGCATTTTTATTCTATGGTTATGCAGTTTCTAACATGAAACAGCTTTAGTCCACATCCAGGCACCTTCAATGCTACAATAAAAATGGCTGGCAACTGAGTGCAAAGATATTTTTTGTGTGTAACCTCAGATACAGAATATTGATGCTTTTACCTCTTGTCTCTCCCATGGGGCTCACCATTAACATTCCTTTTAATATGGAGAAAGCTTTGGCAAATGAGCAATGTAATTTTTCTTTTGGGTGTCTTTCTTCAATTAAATTAATACTCTATGAAGCAATTGCTGCAGTAGATGGAGTTAAAATTATTTATTTATTTATTTATTTATGCATTTTTTGACAACTAAATCTGTGAAACAATATTTTGGTGTCATTTACTCTGGCCAGTTTTGTTTTGTCTTGCAAAACCCAAATTATAAATTGGATAGGCACAAAACCACATTTGTGTGATCTACCTCCTCATAGCCTCTCCTGATTTATGCCCCTCACCCCAGGTTCCTTCACAGCAAATTAAAAGGGGGCTGGGACCCTCAGTGGGTGATGGATGTCAAGTAAACCCAGCTGGACCTGGACCTGCAACTGCGCATCCATCCTGAAGCCCCACCATTTACCAGGTTGTGCACACCCCAGCGTCACTGTGCCCTCCAGCCTTGGTGTCCCTTCACAGCCATCAGGGTCCCCCACACCACAGTGTGGTCCCCACACCACCAGTGAAGATGCTGAGCAGTTTGTTTGTGACACTCTCAGGGAGGTCAGTCAGAGCTGTGACATCCCAGACATGTTGCTTCTAAAGCCCTACGACCACCTGCCTGTGAGAACCTGTGCAAAGCAACACCTGTGCCTGCAGTGCAAAATACCACTGACTTTCAACTCTGAATACACTGCTTTCAGAGTCATCCTCATCTCACCCCCTTGTCCCTGTCTGATGAGGCAGGATGTTAATTTTGGCTCTTCTGGACCAACGCATGCATTAGTCATCAGGTCATTTATTACGAATATTATCCTGATAATACTCCCAGCTCCAGAAAAAGATCAAATGACAACAAAAGGGAGCAGTGAATGAGGCAGAACCCATTCTTATTTGAATCTGGGTAAAGGTACCTCACACAAAGGCATTTATTTGCCTGAAGAAAAACTTGCTGCTAGTTAATTGTTTTACAGTTGTAGGGATAGAACTGCCTCAATAACTCACTGTCAGCAGTCAATTTACAAAATTATTCTTCAGTGATTCCCTGATTTCACCTCCTTTCATGGACCAGAAGACCTTTTCTAATGGGATGGTTGGCAAAAGGCCTCTTCATTTAGAAGGCAGATCACGCAGCCTTATACACTTAGTTCTAATTATGAATTATTGGAACATTGTGACCTGAGGCATCATGCACTTACTTGTTGATTAATGGTCTTCAGACATCTTAAAAATAAACATGGGGGAATACCAAGTGCAACAGGAGGATTTTATCTTAATAATTTCTGCCCTTGACTGCTAACCCAGAGCTTCAGTGAAAGGATCTGTTCCCATTTGCTCAGAGACTGAACACACAGAGGGAGACTGCCCGGACGGGTAACGAGGCTTATGCTTGTTTCCCTTCCACACCACTTCAATTTAGTAAAATCTCAGAGGCTCTAAGTTGCTTGGGAGAGAGCACTGCTTCCAAGGCAGGCATAAATACAGAGCAAGACTGAACTGAAACAGGCATCATTAGGAAGAGGAACCCATGAACAAAGGGGGACACCATGAACAGAGAAATCGCAAAGACGGCTGGGAAGAGGAGAGACGGATGCAGTGCAGCAGAGGAGGGTGCCTGGATGCCTTTGCCACCTCAGCCAGGAGAAGGCAAGGATGATTTGATGGGATCTCACCTGTAAGATGAGACAACAGTCATGCAGCAGTGACTGCTGCTGAAGAGGAGAGGAAGGAACATTTATCCAATTTTCTGCACCCTGAAATTCAGACCTTGGGACTGGTTGCGGATGCTGGCCATGGAAAAAAAGATGCTGATTATTGTGGAGATTTGACAAGCAGGATTGAGCAGCAGCAGCACCTTGCTAAGGACAGGACAGAGAAGAGTTTAAGATAAACAAGCTCTGGGTAAGATGTAACAGTGCTGCAATGGGGCCAGGTGCCATGTTGAACAGTAGCAGAGAAGCCTGGGAGATAGGAAAGGCAGGTCTGTCCTAGTGCTTCTGTGCTGCAGACAGCTGCAGGAGCAATGAACTAGCAGGAAACCCACTCTTGTGTTTTCTCCACCTACATGGTACAACAGCACTCTGCCTTTCTGTGAAGCACAGGCAGCTTTGGGCAGGAGCAAGCAACATCGAACAATCGGCACATCCTCACCAAAGCAGTTTCTGCCTGTGTCTGGCTGGGGAGGTTTCTTAGGAAAAACTTAATTGCACAGATCCAATGCTTCTTCTTATTTCCGAAATGTATTTTCTCACCTGGTTAGTGACCAAGCTCCCAAACAACATAAATTTTTTAAAAAGTTAAAGGTCACTTGTCTGCTAAGATCTTACAGTTGCTGGCTCTGTGAGGGTGGATTTTTTCTATGGGTGGGAATGACAAAAGGTGCAAAGTCCTCTGTGTGCTGCTGCTCTTGAGAGACAGAGTGGGAGACAGATCCTAGTTCAGCAAAGGACCAGGAGACACATCCTTCCTTGCACAAAGATAACCATGGAAGAACAAACAAGCAAAAGCACCAATATCTCTGCACAATTAGGCTCCAATTCCTAAATTCACTCCTACACCACAAAAATAAGTGCTCTGGATCTATGTTATAAATAAGATCAAGCTTATTCATTCCATGGAGTTTACCACAAAATTACCCTAAACTGCGTGTATGGGATCACACAATACACGAGAAATGAATATTTTAATTCAAGGCAGCAAACAACAGCAAAGACTTTTCTTTTTTCCCATGGTAAATGATTATTTCCCTATTAAATCTTTAATTTAATTGTATTTCAATCCATAGCCTAGGTGCATATCAAATAAGGTAGAAATGAAGGGACTGTACATCCCCTGGAAATCAGAAACTACTCCTGCTAGATCTCACCTGAACATCATTTTCACAGCAGTATTTTGTCCCAGCGTCTTTAGTAGCACCACAGCCTTAAGGTGCTGACTGAAAGGTTTCCACTCTCCAGGACTATCCTTCAGAAGCCTCTCTTCCTCTGCAAGCACCCGGCACAGCTCCACACACCAGCCGGCACGGACGTGCAGAGAGGCAGAGCATCACTTGGGGGAGGGTGACGCCACTTCCCGCAGACCCAGGCGCAGCATGCAAGAGCCAAGGCGGGAGGAGCGGGGAGCTGAAATGGATACTGGGCTGAAATGGATACTGGGCTGAAAAGGATACTGAGCTGAAATGGGAACAGAGGGAAAAGAGGGGGTGCCCACCATTTGCTTTCTTACCCAGCCCCATTGGCTGCTTTTATGGAGTGCTTGTAACTACAACATGCACACACCTGAAGTGCAACATCTTTGGGATTCAGGCTTCCATGTTCATGACTCTGGCTTATCCTTAACTCGCTAGGGATTTGCAAACCAACACTTCTTGCTTGAGGCTCCAGAGCCTGCAGAGCAACAGGCACACACCAAACCTCCTCTTGGCTGCCCCAAATTCAGCTCAGTGAACAACCACCACAGCAGCTTCCCTTGGGGGAAGCACAGAGGAAGCATAGACACAACTGCAACTTTGCAGTAGTCCTGGGCTATGCCAGATGCTTTTAATCTCTGTCAAGAGAAGCAAGTGGTTGAAACATCACACAGTGTGCTGAAGCAGTCACTAACTGAGTAAAGAGCAAGGTTGCTTTGCTCATTCCTTACAGTACAATCAAAATTCCTTAAAAATCTAAAACTTAAAAGTTTATCCTCTATTTTTCACCTTTGATTCTAGCTGAATAAAGGGAAGGCACAAAAATCCTGTTATAAAGGAGTAAACAAAATTTCTTAGTTTTGAGATATTTCTGCCTCTCCAGACTGGCTTATAGCACAAGTGCTCTTCTGTGGAAGTCAACCCTCTTCTAAGATTATTGTAAGGCAATATTTTGAATAAAAGTTACAAACTACAACAAATTCATATTTCAGCAGTCCTTTCCCTACCTCTTCTTTGTTCTTGCTAACTTTTATCCTTTTCACCCATTTTTCAACAGAAGGACTAACAAGGAATAATTGAGAATGATGTATGATCAGGTTTACTTGCCAAGTCTTTTTATACTCAAATATTCAATTTGTGGCTTCCAGTAATAGCAGGGTAGGCAGTATCCTTTCTCCTGCCCTCCATAAAAGAAAGCAGAAAGGAATTATCCATGGATTTAGATACGCTGAGGTGTTCACTATGTGTGAGCTGGTTGCCTCACAGCCAGATGCTGCAAAACTACTCAGCATCACTCCAGACTCGAGCTTGTGCTTTCATGATGACATATCAGGACAGCAAATTAGAGACAAGAACCATGCTCAGCAGCAGGTACAACGTTTTTTCATTCTAAATGCTGCATGTGAAAATATGCTGGATGCCTACCTGGTGTGGAGGTACTTTGTGAATGGACAATTAGCACACATAAAAACACATTGACTGGGTTCAGACTTGGCTTTACCTCAAGGTAGCTTCACTGTTCATGTTTAAACCAAGAGTTTAATTTTAGCTGATAAATTATAACAAAAACCTCAAGAGGTCTTGATTTCTTGTGATGCATTCATGACATTTTCCCACTATAGTTCAGTGTCCCTTGAAACTGAAGTTTATGCTGACTGGGTGGTCTCTGAAAGAGCCTGCATCTGCTTCCTGGGCTCCTCGTGTTAACTGCCTGCACCACTGGTGCCACACACATTATGATATAAAAATATCTTCCTGTGACCAGCCCTGCTGCAGTGGGGAGTTTGGGGAGTGACAGTCAGAGATAAAGCAGGAGGCTTGGCTGCACCCTCCCCACCTGCCCAATAAGCAGCTGCCCTGTGCTCGCACAGTGGATCCATCCTGGGCCTGCCCAACAGTGATCCCTGGTCAGCCCCACCACAGGGAACCACCCGGGCACTTCTCACAAGCCAGGGAGGGTATGATAAGCAAATGACCTGCATGGTGTGAAGCAAAGTACTGGCTGCATGACAGATGGAATAACATATAACTGTGGTAACACTTTAGGAAGCACAATAAATACACTGCAAGCTTTTCTGTTTATGCAAACGAGAAAATTAAATCAAGAGAATGCTGTTGGCTCAAAAAGCCAACCAGATCCTGAGCTTCCCTCCTCTAAAGCCCAAAAATATGAATGAACTAAAGCAATCTGGATCCTATTTGGCTGCTCATCTCTGATGTCTCATCTTCCCTGAGCCCTCTTTAGGCTAATGATGAGGAAACAAACACAGGCAGAACAACATTGAACTTGGCATCATTTTGGCAAAGTTGCATTCTCAGGATTTTGTCACCGGGTACTAGCACTTCTTGTGTCACCTGTACCCCAAGAAAGAACCAAAGGTTTAATAGGCAAACTGGCTGTTTTTCTTTCAAGCCGCCAATAATTTCTACTCGAGTCCCAGGACAGCCTAAAATTTTACCCAAACTTGCTGTTTGATGGAGCTAAAGGCAAGCAGCCAGTCAGAGCAGCTCCCATAGGCTCTCTCCATAAATCCGGTGTGTCCCCCTTCAGCTGTGACCCGAAATGCTCCATCCAGAAGCAGAACCACACACGAAGTGCAGAAACCAAGGGGCAACAACTGGGGATGCTCTGTCCACTCCTCACCCAGGAGTGGTAAAGTGGTGGCTGTGACCCCTCTAAACCCTGCAGGTGAACAAGGGAAAGAGCTTCATTCCTAAGACAAGGCCAATAGTAGGGCCAAGAGTGAGAGTCACTGACATTATCTCCTGCTCTTGGAAGCTGCCCTCCTCTCTCAATAACTCCTGCCCTTGTGAGGCTAGTTGGGCATTCTATAAAGCACTGCACTTCTGAAGGAATGGGGAGACACACAATTATTAAATGAAAAGTAAATGTTGCAAGCACAATTTTATGACTGAAAACAGTTTAATCACCCTTGGATGCGATTTTTGGGAGATGGACTACGTGTCTTACCCTGGTTTGAATAGCTGTGTACCTCTGAGCTTGACTGTTTCCTTCGCATGTACTGACTGCCCTTTAAAAGACATCACCTCTCCTGACAAGTTTCTGGGTCCCCACCAGCAGAAAGTGGTGCCTCCTCGACTTCATAAAAGGGCTTTCCATCCTTCCTCACACATTCCAAAGGCTGCACATCAATAGCAACTTGCCTGGAGGGGGAACGAGCTTGGCAAACCCTCAGCAGAGGGGTCTAGTGCTGCCCACCCACATCGCGCGACATTGCTACGCTAATTGACCTTTTAGTAATGCCGACGCCAAAGTAAATCCTGTGGTACCTCAGGTCCTCTGCTGGAAAGGTCGGGCCCTGCCGGCTCCACAAGAGGCTGCCGGGGGTCGCACCGGAGAGGAGGATGCGGCCGCCGCCTGCGCTTCCCTCCGCCGGGGCCGGGCGGCGCTGGC